GGTTAAGGTGCTGGACTCCCACATGACTGAGCACAGTTTAAGTCCCAGGCCCGGCAGTTTGAAAATCACTGCAGACACATGTGTGTGTGTGCCCAGAATCCTAGGAGGAGAATGGAGGAGAAGGGGTTGCAGCATGGCCATCCCCCCGGGGAGTGGGACAATTTCTCACTTTCCCTCTTACTCTTTCTCTCTGTTGCTCTTCAGCAAGCACATGTGCCCTATGGCAAAACCCTTTAAAAAAATTATATTGCAGGGACTGACATTTGGGGTACTTCCTTAAATCTTATACCAAAGACAAGTACCTCATTCATGTCAACCTCATCCCAGCCATGTGGGGAAAAATCCAGACGTTTTTACAGGTATTCAATCATAGCTTCAGACAGTCCATGGCAAAACCCTTTAACACACACACACACAAACACACACACACACACACACACAATAGCAGGGAGAAATTAAAAGCCACTCTTTGGAAATTTAAGCACCCATCCTGTCCATTGGCCGAGGTCAAAGAGGGCATGCTTAAAACAACTTTCCTCATTTATCTTTCCAGGAGTGCTGCTGTTCACCTTTAAGTACACACCTGAGATCGGCGTCCGTAACAGAGCTGTGCGCTTGGGCTGTGCTCACACAGAAAAGAGGAAAATCGATTTCAATCCCCGAAGGACAGAATTACTAGTGCAGAAGGTCACTAAATGCTAGCACTTGCTCAATGGCTTTGGAACAAGATCCTTGTCCGCACTGCCTCGCTGCACTTGCAGCAGAGGGGCGAACCCCAGCCTGGCTCTCACCAGGGAAGGGAGAGCTGTGGCCTGTGGGAGCCATGGGAGAAACCCTTTAAACAGCGAAGGGGAGGAGCAGACGCACGCATGTGGGACGCAAAGTCGCGGGTGAGTGTTCGCACCTAACGCTCTGGAGACACCGGCCAAGACTAGTTCAACCAACTGAAAATATTACTGCTGTGCTCTCTCAAGGTCACTTGACAGATCAGGTTTTCCACTCCCCAAGGGCTTGCTGCACAGACCGGCCTTACCAAAGAGAGGGAACCCAGGGCTCTGTCTCAACCAAGCCTCCCGGGCCTGGCTGACACTTCGCTCATACCCCTCCCTGCGGAGGACACCGGATTCAGGCCATCAGAGATCGGTGGGTTCCGCCGAGCCTGGAGTCTTATGCCAGTGGCCGTGGCTGCCCTCAGCTCTTCCAGATATCGGTAAGCTGGTGCCACTTCTGTCACCTCTGAGATTATTGCAGATATTTTACTGGAAGCAGCATGCACGATGACAAGGTAAGGCACAGAGAGGGAGAACCAGAAGCAGCAGCGGGCCTCTTGCAGAGAAGACGTGAGCGCCACACACCTGCTCCCAGGAGCGCCTGTGCTTTTCCCCAGTGGGAGGAACAGGGCTTAACAGGACGAGCCAGGACATGGGATCGAATTGACCTGAGTCTGGATCCCGGCTCCACACAAGAGCTGGGCCTTGGGATGCTACTGAACCTCTCTGAGGCTGTTACCTAAGCTATAAAGTGGGGGAGAGCAATGAAGGCCGTGTGCCTGGCGCAAAGCCCACGGGCCTCACATGGATCGCACCCCCTTTCCCAAGCAAAGACATGCCGCCTTCATCCTCTTTTCTTACCTTTTTTTTTTTTTTTTTTTGGTTTTTTGTTTTTTGAGAGATTTTTACTATAGGGCACATGTGCTCGCCCGAGAAAGAGAGAGGGACAAAAAGTGAGAAATCGCCCTTCAGGGGGGATGACCACGCCACAATCCCTTCACCTCCATTCTCCTCTTAGGATCTTGGGCACCCACTCGCACATGCCTGGGCTGAGTTTTAAGTCGCCTGGTCCAAGACTCGAACCACGGTCAGCTACATAATTATTACTCCATCTGCTGGTCCCCTTACCTTTTCTTAATGGAGCCTTTTTGCACCCAGAGTCTCGGGCTGCTTTTGCTTCTTACCATCATCTGTTGGCCTGGCCTCCTCTTTACCAAGCACCTGGTGTTAGGGAGGATGGAATTTTCTTGAGAAGAAAAGGAGCCAGCTTAGAGCAGCCCATCCTTGGCCAACACTACATTGGGCAGGGAGACCACTGTGATGTCACCGTCACCACCACTACAAGGCACTCCATCCACTCTGTCCCTGTCTAGAGTCAGAATGTTGGACTACAGCACCTCACAGTCCAAATCCACCAGGAAACCTTTCTTTGGTGGTGGGATGTATTCTTAAGTAAGTGACCATTTAACACTCCTACATGGGAAGCTTCCAGTGTGTAGACCATTGTGTTCATTTCTATGATTGACCTAACAAAGTGCCACACTGGGTGGCTTAGAGCAACAGAAATGTATTCTCTCATAGCTCTGGAAGCCAGAAGTCACCAATCCTTAATTGTCAGAAGGAGCCGGAGAAGGACCTGTTCAGGCCTCTCACCTACGGTGGTAACCCTTGACATTATTTGGCTTGTAGATGCTTCACCTCAGTCTCTGCCTCCATCTTCACAAGGTCGTCTCTTCTCTGTGTGTCTGTGCTCAGATCTCACTCGACGGGTAAAGACGCTCAGCCTAGCCCAGTACCACCTCATCTTAACGTGCCTATATTGGCAAAGACCTGATTTCCAATAAAGTCACATTCACAGGTACCAGGAGTTAGGACTTCACCGTATCTTTCTGAGGGACACAGTTCAACCCACAGTAGCTCCCTCTTCCCATGCGCAGGGCGGATATCAATAATCAATCATGGCATATTCACCTGAGCAGAAGAGATGCCACAATCCCCATCGAAGGTGTCCTGGCTGTACCTACGATCAGAGCCAACACCCGAGGTGAAACCAATTTACCTGACAAAAAAGAATGAATGTGTCATGATAGAAATTTGGCATGTGGTGAAGAGCACATGGGGGAGCTAGTGACAGCACCCTGCAAGCCTCAGTGTAGGTGGTCTTCTACCCACTTTATCATGGGGGTCCTGCTGGTGGGTCACCAGGCCCTCTCCTAGGCCTTGTAAGTACCATACACCTGGTCACCGCCTGGCACTCACAAGGGAAATGTCCCCAGTGCTCTGAGTCCCCAACCCGTACATACCGTGGCATGGCCTGGCTCCAACTTCACTCCATGCAAACACTTCTCCTTCCTCTACCCCCTGCAAATTGGAAATAGTGATACACAGCCATCTCCCAGGGCTGTCTGGCCATTTAATTAATGTTTAGAAAGCACTCTGAGGTCTTCGCGGGAAAATTGCTGTGTAAGTGCAAAATTATTATTAGTTCTCAGCCTCCTGTCCCTTGACTTCTGACACAAGCTTTTGTTGTGCCTGCATGGGAGCCATTTATGGGCTGTCCAGCTGGCTCTTTCGGGCACACCGGCAAGTATAGACACATTTGCAGATTTTTTTTTCCCCTTTGAAAAAAGCATTCCAACTCTGTGGGATATCTCAAAGCTTTTGAGTGTCTGCATTTCTCTCTACTTGTCTCCACTAAGTACTGTAATCCACAAGAGTAGATTGTAAACAGGCTACTTTGGCAGAGTGTGTGTGGGAGGTGGTCAATTGGAAGAAATAGGCCCTTTGATAATGAAGAATAAAACAATATCTCCTTGTCGTGCGGAATCTAAATGGACCAGTCAGGGAGGCCTGTCTCCTTTGCCAGAGGGATAGTGTTTATGTTCTAAAAAGAGAGAAAAGATTTGCTTGCAGCATCCAAATTTCGCCTCTCTTCCTTCACTTCCATGGAAACAAATACATCCTGCCTAGACAATGTCTTCCTCAGAGTCCATTATTCCCTGACTGTGCTCCCTGGGGTCCCATGGGGATAATGAAGTAGAGAAGTAGAAAAGAAAACGATGCGCCTACAACTGAAATGCCTCAGCTCCGAAGGACAGAGCAGGGCCATGTGTCATTTGTCAAGCACCAAGCCAACAGACGTTGTGATATGGCACCTCTTCCTGTGTCCTTAGAACACATTCATACCCACCCTGCACTACCCAAGCACAACCCACCATGCTCCCTTGAAGGCATCTCTTGGCTTATCATCATGCTGTTAGTAGCATTTATTAACCAACCCACTGCTGGAAGACTTCAGTTTCAAAAACTGCAGAAGAGCATTATGTTAACATGTGGTCAGTTAGACAGAAGTATATAGGTGCCAAATCAATGAAAGAATCCAATGTTGGATTATACGGCTATACACACACACACACATACACGCACAGTAAACCAAAGGAGGATGGAAGATGGACCCCACATTTCTTAAGCTGACCAATAATATCAAGGGTAAACCTAGGTCTAGTCTTCTGAGACAGGGTGATTTCTCGCTTTCTGTCTCTCTGTCTCTGTCTTTCTGGCAAGCACACCCGCCCTATAGCAAAAAACGTCTCAACAACAACAACAAAAAGGTAAAAGTTAAAAATGAAGTACATCTAACCTTGAAATGACAATAGCCATAGTAGACTGACCAAAGAACTGGTCAATTACATCTAACCTACCAGTTAGCTCAAACCTGGCTCTGCAAACCATCAGTTACCAAATTATGGAGGACAACAGCTGGTGCGTTAAGCAAGCAGCTCCTAAGATCGGTAGGCCTCTGCCTATCTTTATGGGAAAGATGAAGCATTTGACAGCAATCTAGTCAATGCCACTGGACAGTCACCATGAGAGAAGCGCTGGGGAAACAGACTGAATTACTCCGAGACTCCTGACTCCTGCCATGCTTGGGGTCACACGCACAGCCTCACTTTGCTGTCTCGACACCCACGGGCCACTGTTGTAGCTTTTCTCTTGCAATCCAGCAAATAATCGGGCCCAGCTGGATCCCACGCATGGGCTCAGTGCTTTCTATGATGGTGCCTGCTAAGTACGACTGTTACTGTGAATACAAGAAAGCACAGGCTTTCTTCTGGAAGAATCTGGAACCGACAATGACGTCTATATTTGTGCCTTGGGACATCCCAAGGTGAAATGATTAGAAATGAAGATCTAATTTATTGGACAAAGCAGAGCCCTGAGAACAAAGCTTTCCCTGGCTGTGAAGACAAAGAATAAATGTGACCATGACCATCTGAAATATCTACATAGGCCTCAAGTGGAAAACCAGCTCCCTCTTAGTATAATTCTGCTCTCCTCTCACTTCTACACCATCTCTCTCTCTCTCTCTCTCTCTCTCTCATACACACACACACACACACACACACACACACTTCTCTCATATCAAAGGTGTGCAATTTTGAGTTTACCTGCTCTTAAATTTCCATCAGGTTCCTAGCTTTAGTCAGTCCAGACTGATGAAGGGTGGTCCTCTCCCCCATCTCTACCATAACTCCAATGGCTGTAAAACAGTCCCGTAATCCAGATCAGCAGGAAGTGTTTCATTTACTGTGTAGTAACCTCCGAAGGCAGCGTGACTCCCACCAAACCAACCCCTTCCTTGTAACAAACCACTTTCGAGATTCATAATCACTGACACTTTTTCCACTCCCTTTTCCTCCCTTCGTGTTCTAACATCAATTGAGGGCTTACTATTGGGTCATCAGAAAAGTCATGAAGCATTTTTGCATAGAAAAACCTAGAATACTTCATGACTTTTCCAGCAACCCAATATATGCTGGACAGTAGGCTCAGCCCTTCCATAATCCTCCCACTAAAACTATTAGGCAGGTGTTATTCTTCCTCTTATTCTGAAGATCTGCCAGCTGAGGTTTAGAAGGTAAGTCCTCTGCCCAAGGTGGTACAACTTCCAAATGATGCAGCCAGGCCACCAACTTGGACAAAGAAGAACTCTCCAAGCTCTTAACTGCCAAGTCAAAGGGTCACCCTAGTACTTTTATTAAAGCATTGAGATTGGGGTTGATTATACTGAACTGGAACATACAGATTTCAGAGACATTTTCTGTGCATTCATCTTTGCACAGAGTCATTCCCCTATGATGTTTTTAAAACTATTACAACCACTTATATCAGATTGTTCTTAACATTTTTAAGGTAAGGGACCTACTTAAGAATCTTGAGTGAGGGACCAGCAGTTAGCATAATGGCTATGTCACTGGACTCCCACGTAGTCAACCACGATTTGAGTCCTGGACCCAGTGGCTTCAACTCACGCCAGGCGCATGTGCGTGCGTGCCCAAGATCCCGAGAGGAGAATGGAGGAGAAGGGATTGCAGCGTTGCCATCCTCCCTGGGGGTGTTATTTCTCACTTTCTATCTCTCTGTCTCTTTCTCTCTTGCTAGCGCACATGCCGTATAGCAAAAACCTCTATTAAAAACAAAAGAAAAAGAAAATAAATAATCTTGAGTGAGACGTACAAATCTCGGGTACAAATCCCCTGACTTCTCACATCTTCTCTAGCAAAAATTCTCTTTCCACCATCCCACCTGTGGTCATGCGTAATAGCTAGTTGTGTACTCGGTGGGTGACAACACAGCCCCAAGGTGGACTCGGGAGCACCTTTGGGAAGGAGGGTGCTGCTTCATGGAGGTCCCCCTGCCATGGATGCCCTCCTTCCCACAGGAAGGACTCAATCTTCCCTCTCCTATTTCAGATTCTGGTTACAAATATCCCAGCACTCATCCCAAAGTCTTAGGGATAGTTTCACATATAAAAGCCAAAACCACTCCTTAGTCCCATGCCTATCTTTAATAATGTGAAAGTGATGACAGAGGCAAAAACACTACATCAATTAGGTATCCCTTTTACTCTCTCATAGTGTGGATCATGCACAAATTACCAAAATAAAATCTCTGGAAAACAAGCAGGGACGGGGCCAGGTTTGAGAAAACCAACAATCGCCGATGCATCAAGGCAACACTTGGTGAGATCCCTTTTCTCCAGCGCCCAGTGTCTCCAAGTGTCCATTTCTCGAGGTTCTTTTGGCTGGTGCTTCCAGAACAGACCACTGTCCTGAGTATTTCATTTCCCCAACGGAATTCACACAGAAGACGGGAGCAAAGTCTTCTTGAAAGCTTTCTTTGTTTGAAACAATGGAAAACACGAGAAATGAAAAGCACCCATTCTCTCATCCCGAAGCATAACAGCAAGGATAATGACCCAATGGTGTTTCAAGTTGGCATAGTGCTTTACAACTTTTCCAAAGCATTTCTGCATATATTATTTTTAATCCACCCATAACACAAACTTTCGGTTTACAAAGAAAGTAGAAACCACGAAGAATTTGCCCAAGATCAGGCAGCGAGGCAGTGGACGATCAGACCTAAGGCCTGATTGGAGGGTTGGTCCAGTACCTCTACACTCCATGGCTCTCTACCTCGTTGTCACCCTCTCTGACGACTTCCCACTCTCCATATTCAAGTTGTCTGTCAGTCAGCAGGGCTTTCTAACTGTAGGTATGGGCTCAAAAGGAGAAAAACACAAATACTCCTTTGACATATATACAGATATAAAAATAAATGTGGCACTCTTTCTCGTGGCTTCCCCGTGGATGCCTTTCTCAGATGAAAGGACCCTGTTGGAAAATAGTTTGTTGACCTGTTAGTTCTATGTACACATACTAATCCTTAGCACAAGCAGGACCTTCACACCGGGAAATTATTTGCTAAATCTTTCCCACTGTCTCACAGCTTGGCCTGTCGATTTCTCCCAGACATAAAACATCTGGGCTGGTACAACCAAACATAGCAAATTCAAAGAGATGTTTTCCAGATGTGCAAGATGACAGCTGTCCTCGGGAGTCTGTCACAGGGCCAGCTCTGGGCATATTTCCCAAGACCCTTTTCCAACTGTATCTCACCATAGCTTTCATGTGATGGAAGAAGTTTCCAAGAGGTTGACCAGATAGCTGCTTAAAACACTAAGCCAGCAGCCATGGAGAAGCAGCTCTGGAGGATGCTCTGCAGGTGGCCCCATGCTCTAGCCGTGGGATGGTTTTCAAGCTCTGTAGAAAGTGGGGTGTGTTCCACCTTTAGACATTTTTGGCCAGAACATCACAGGAAGGATGCACCCTCGGTGTGGACCTCATTCTTCTCTTGTCCAGAATGGCAAATGGGCATGCCACCAAGCCCGGACTTTAGGAATACAATCTGCAGAAATCCTGCTCATACGATTTCAGTCTTTTGAGGGGTCACTGGATCCAAGTGCTTGTTTGGAGAGGTGACTGGGAGAAAAGCTCTTTCCATGCCAGATTTAGAAAAATCTGGGAATATGCTCTGTAGTTGTGCAAATTTCTGAAAAAATAAAGTAAAATAAAAGAGCTAAGTTGAAAAGTGAATCATTGGAAGCACGGAGCAAGCATAACCTCTATCTACAGGTTCCATTCACTGAGAGCCGGCTGGACAAGCCATCCTGGAAGTGCTTCGCACACTTGCCACCTCATTCGCTCTCCAGGGCCTTGGGCCTTTTCAAGACTGGTGTCTTCAGCCTTCAACCAGGAGATTCGCAGATTGCAGACCGAAGCCTTGTCAAGCCCCTGCTGTTTGATACCTACACAGAAAGTCCACGTCTACAGAAGCAGACATTTCTCAATAAGAAACTAAAGTCACACATTTTTAAAATTACTGTCTAGAGATTCTAATTATTATTTAATGTGCAAATAACGCTAACTACCGAGCTGTAAGCTCCATGAGGGCTGGAACAATGTCTTGGGCCTCTGCCTGTCCTGTATGGTGCCTACAATTAAGCCCCATACTAAGCTCACTGGAGTCTTTCATCGACTAATGTCTCAAGAAGGAACCAGAGAGGTGAGTACATAGCCAGACAGGTGAGTCTGTGAACAGAGAGCGGCAAGACTAGGCCTAGGAGAGTAACTGGTGGTCGGTCTTGGTTCCTTCCTGGTTACAACATGAGGTAGGTCGATCCACAGCTGGCTCCACCTTCAGCTTCCCCACAGCTGCAGCCAGCCCCAGGGAGCAGTCAGATGGAAAGCCGCTCAGTGGGCTTTGAGCAGAGCCTGCAACCAGCAGCTCAAGGGCGTTTCTAGGATGGTCAAGCACCCAGCCGTCCTCCACCCCAGGAGACACTGTGCTGTCTGCCCCACTGTTCTGACATCTCGGGGCAAATTTCTTTTTTAAAAAAATGCCTTCTTTTTTTTTTTTAATTGCCGAAGAGACAAATAGAAAGAAGAAGAGGGAGAGAGTACTTCCTAATGGGGTATAATCCCTTTTATTCATTTCTCCATTGTGTTAGGACTTTGGGCATATGCACACGCACGCGCGCGTGCACACACACACACACACACATCTCCTATTTCAAGCCATAGGAGCCTGAATTCAAACCTCATGGTCAGGTGGGATCCAGCTCCCTTAACCACAGCCCCTTACAATTTTTTTAAGCTTATTTATTTCTTCTATGAAAGAGAGAGGGAGAGATGGAGACAGAGAGACAGGCCACCCGAATAGGGTCCGCACACCATGACCTACTCCCAGCCTCGGTCAGCCTGTAGCACACTGCACTACCAACTGGTACCTTGAGGTTCCTTTTATTTTTTTTTTCTTTTAAGAGAGATTTTTGCTGTAGGCCGTGTGCACTCGCCAGAAAGACAGAAACAGAAAGTGAGAAATCATCCCTCAGGAGAGATGGCCACGCCACAACCCCTTCCCCTCCATTCTCCTCTTGGGATTTTAGGCACACATGCACATGCACCTAGCATGAGTTTAAGCCACCAGGTCCAGGACTTGAACTGCGATTGACTACATGGGAGTCCAGCGATATAACCATTACACCATCTGCTGGCCCCTCGGGGTAATTCTTAAGGAGTGGGTGGAAGTGCCAAAGGGTAAGAGAGGAACCTCCTGAGAAACAGTTCCAGGGCAAGCAAAGGAGGCTGATCTCTGCCCTCCATGGTAGCTGGGGCTGCTCTTTACGCACAGGAGGCACGGGGCAGCAACCTTGACCGCGTCTACTGCAAGGCCTCTGGCCTTCAGTAGGATCCTTCGGCGTGTCTAGAACCACCCTCACAGAGCTAACTTCTTTTTCTTTCCACAATGTCTCTCTGTAGCCATGAGATGAGAAACAAGTTGGAACTGTTCCAAGGGTATCCTGTCACAACTCTCCCCATCCTGGGGCCTCCATAAGTCCAGAGTTCAGAGAATAATCTCTCTCGCCATTACTAAATGATTCACACGATCTACAAAACATCTTTGGATTGGTGTCCCCAAGGGATCTTTTCATAAAAACAGATGTTTTAAAAAGATACTTACACAAGTGAAAATGATGAGTGTTAAGTAGAAAACCACCAGAGCCAACAGCAGGAAGATCTCAGCTCTGTAGTTCTTAAAATTTTCTTCTCGTCTTTTAGAGCACCCTTAGGGAAAAAAAAAAAGTAATACATGAAGCCGTTTTAACAGGATTTTTCCACGACAACAGAAGGTTGAGAACGCTTTGCTCTTCCTTCACGTCTGCGGGTCCTCCATCCCTACTCTGAAGTCCGGCGGTTGGGAGGACAGCAGCAGCAGCTACCATGATGGCGGACCCGGCTATGCGTGCGCTGTACCCCCTGCATCTTCGCGGCAGGTGTGAGCAGAGGCATCTGTCTGTATCTGCAGGGACTTGACCCCAAGATCCTCCAAAATCTGCAGAGGCTCAAGCCCCTTACACAAAACCTACACATGACCTCCTGAATACACTAAATCTCTCCAGATTACTCACGGCACTTTATACAGTGTAAATGCTATGGAACCAGTGAGTACACTGTATTGGCTTTTGTTTGGTTTTGGTTTTATTGCTATAGGGTGCATCCACTTTCTGGAGAAAGTGAGGGACAGAGAGAGAGAGGGAACCACCCCCAAGGAGGGATGGCCATGTAGCAATCCCTTCTGTTCCATTCGCCTTTTGCGATTTTGGACACGCACACGCACTTGCCAGGCGTGATTTTCAAGCTGTTGAGTCTAGTCAGCCATGTGGGATCCAGTCGCCTCAACACCATGCCCCTGGCTAGTCCTGTATTGATTTTATATATATTATATTTAACTTGCTATAGGCCACATGCACTCACTCACTCACTGGAGAAACAGAAAGAGAAAAGAGAGAGAGAGAAAGTAGAAAGCACCCCCAGGAGATATGGCCACGCTGCAATCCCTTCTCCACTCTCCTGTGTTACTTTCATTGTTAATTTTCAAACATTTTCGATCTGCAGTCAGATGAAGTTGTGGAAGCAGAACTTATAGATACACTGGGTGACGATATTGCGATTTTCCAGGTGGAGGGGCCGAGGTTCTGAGAGGCTAAGGCGCCGAATTGGGAAGCAGAACTGGGGTCTGGTCCACACTCGCCCTGCTGCCTGTCTGCCTCGTTTCAGGGTCAGGCCTTCGGGTCAGAGGGACCACATTTGTCAGTGTGTCCAAGATCATAATTTCATCAGTGTCAGGTAGACTGCGATGAGCCCTCACCCTAGGGGTCGAGGCCGTGAGACCAGGCAGGTGATCTGCCCCCCTCTCACCAAATATGTCGACACTCTTCTGTAGAATCACTCAAGATCTTCCACAAAGTGAGCAGCCGGGTAGGAAAGCGCCTGGTTCCCCCAGGGTTGTTAAAGTGGCCGTGCCTCCCTCAAGGACCAGGAGGCGTGAGGCGTGAGGCCTTCAGCCTGGAGCAGACACAGCAATACCCACTGAGCTGTTTGGGGAGGCAAGTTTAGCTCTGGCTGTTGTGCAGTTGCTCTGGTGGGGTGCAGAGGTCCCCCCGTGAGGCCCGCTGTCTGGGCATCTCTGGGCAAAGTCTCATTTAACCCCCATGATGAGCCTTGACCGTGGAGGTTATTATCCCCATTTTAGAGACGAGGGGACTGAGGCTTACGGTCATTGGGGGTCTGCCTAAAGGCACACTGATGAGCAACAGATTTAACATTTAACCAACTGTAAGCGACTGATCAGGGTCTGATCCTTTAACTTGGAGGACATACTGCCTTGGAAGCAGAGTAGGAGAGACCACCCGCTGCTGCCTATCTGTCTCCTCTTGACTCCCTGCAGGACGGGCCTCTCCTACCCCTCTCCTCTTCCCCTGCACAGTAACTCTCTCTCATTCTCAAAAACAGCATTCACTGAGGACCTGCAGAGGGCCAGGGGGCATTAGGCAGAAGACAGATGTCGCTATTGCACAAAGGCAGGGGTTCTAGGACAACCACGTGTTGGTCATTTCCAGTCCTGGCCCCTAACGAGTGTTGGGCAAAAATCAAATGAAGGCTGAGCTGAAGCCACAGAAAGAAAAAGTTAGGACATTCTCGCAGGGGAATCCGGCTTCAGCCACACATACCAGCCAAAACAGAGTCAGACTCCACACGAGAGATCGAAGCTAGGAGTTAGGGACAGTGCATGTGCGTGACATGAGAAGAAAACAAGAGCAGCAGGTCGCCTCACCTGTCACCTTCAAAATCACGGTGCCACTTAGGTTTCTCTGCCCTTCCGGATCCTGCAGGGTGCACGTGTATGTGCCCGCGTTGCAGTTGGTAGTGTTTCGAATCTTCAGGGAATAGGGTCTTTCGCTGAGGACCTCGAAAGAGTCATTTTGCCCCTTGTGATGAGAGTGCTGACCGCCGGGGTGCAGCTCTCCCTGGAATGCCTCCATCCTCTGGCCACCGTCCCCTGAAAGCTGTTGAGAAGGAATCACAGCGCATCAGGCTCTGCTGACAGAACCCGTGGGTTCCAGAACTCATGCCAAGGGTCTCCTTCTTGTTTTCATAAAAGTGATCCTAAACTCGTGCTTCTAAACCAAGATATTGTGTGTGTGTGTGTGTGTGTGTGTGTGTGTATGCATGTGAGAGAGAGAGTGTGTGTGTGTGTATTTGGTCTGTTTGTAGGACCTCCAGAGGAGAAGAGAATCTATGGAAATTCCTTAAAACTCTATCTTCTTTGGAAAAAGATCAGGACTGCATCATTTAAAAAGAAAAGTAAAAAGCCAGAGGGCATGTGCGCTCACCTGAGAGGGAGAGGGGGAGGGAGAAAGCATGCCCCAATGGAGCACGGTCATGCCTCAATCCCTTCTCCTTCATTCCTCCATCTTGCTGGGAGAACCCGTGGGTTCCAGAACTCATGCCAAGGGTCTCCTTCTTGTTTTCATAAAAGTGATCCTAAACTCGTGCTTCTAAACCAAGATATTGTGTGTGTGTGTGTGTGTGTGTGTGTGTGTATGCATGTGAGAGAGAGAGTGTGTGTGTGTGTATTTGGTCTGTTTGTAGGACCTCCAGAGGAGAAGAGAATCTATGGAAATTCCTTAAAACTCTATCTTCTTTGGAAAAAGATCAGGACTGCATCATTTAAAAAGAAAAGTAAAAAGCCAGAGGGCATGTGCGCTCACCTGAGAGGGAGAGGGGGAGGGAGAAAGCATGCCCCAATGGAGCACGGTCATGCCTCAATCCCTTCTCCTTCATTCCTCCATCTTGCTGGGACTGGAGCATGCACACAGCCCAAAAATATGCCCAACATGTTTTCCCAACCACTAGGTCCAGGATTTGAACCAAGTAGCCGGCCATGTGCTATCCAGCTTCCTTAGCCACTAAGCCATAGGGCTGGCCCAGGTATATATCTTTTCTCTGTCATGAGTATCTCAACTTCTACCCAATACAAGGGACAAAGTGTCACTGTGACAGCTGTGATGTGTTGAATTCGAATCCCTTTGAGTTGTATTTTGTTGCTGGCTGTCCTATATTAAATGTTCTCTTGTTTTCTTCAGATATCAATTTGCCCAGTGACTGATCTGTATTTAGTATCCCAGCCCTAAAGATTTAGAAAGTTAAGAGCATTGCTGGAAAACTCAACTACAAACAGGGATGCGAAGGACCCAACCAGTGGTGTGGTGGTTAAGGCAACTGGTTCCCACATGGTTGACCCGGCAGTTCAAGTCCTGGATCTGGCAGCTTGACAAACATGCCAGGTGTGTGTGAGTGTCTGCCCAAAATCCCAAGAGGAAAAGGAAGAAGGGTTGTAGCCTGGCCACCCCCCCTTGGGATTGCCTTCTTATTTTTCTTCCTTCCTCTCTCTCTCTCTCTCTTGCTTGCTGTGTGTGTTGGGGGTGTGTATGTGTCTCCAGCCAACACGTGCCTTACAGCCAAAATTACCAAAAACGAAACAGAGAATGGGGATGTGGAGGGGCGACACGGTCTATGATCACCATGTTCTTCAAGGCTGTGTGTGCATTTGTGTGGCCATGCCCAACGCCCCCGAACGTCCCACAGCCCTGTCCTCCCCTCAAGCAGGAAGACAACGGAAAACGGACCAAGGACAGCCAGTGGGGCTCAGGTCTAGTGACCACATCGGAGGACACGCGGAGGGGCAGTAGAGGTTTCAGTCAGTGGAGCCAAGGCAGACCAACCCAACTCGGGGTAGATGCGCAGCCTGGCACCCAATCACCTTGCTGGCTTCCCTCCCCTGGGCTCCTTTGTGATCCAATTGGAGGGCTGCTTTCAGCATCTCCTACTTCAAGGCTTAGGCACATAGCACATTCACCATCTTTTCCCTCCTTCCTGGACACCTCTGCACTTTGCTAACTAACTAGCTAGGATATCTTCCACTGAAACTCAAAGCTTCTAAGGTGGGTTTACACAAACGGAGCTCCTGGGCAGCTTTGATGTCAGCATTCCGTTTACCTGAGATGCCCTTACAGAGACCAGCAGGAAGCCAAAGATTACCTGTCCCCAGCAGTATAACAACACCGGAGAGCCACTTCAGGGAAAGA